CTGAAACACTGTCTTGGACATCGGACGTTTTCGCACACGTTGATTCAATTATTACTTCTCAAAGACGTACACCTTCAGGCAGCGCAGCGTGGTGGCGGATCTCGTCCCTAATAGACCACATAGAATCACCTTAATAACAATATTCACCATGGGGCCTCCCCACGGAAAGCTGTCTAAGGAGCTGTCTGAGGAGCTACCTTGATTACAGCCGTGTGAATAGTTATCGAAAACTTGGTCCCCTAGGAAGTCGGACATGACGGACGACACAGCTGTAGCGCGGGCTGCGTTCACTCCGGAATTAGGCGTCCCGCTCGATAGCGGCTCAATGCCTCATTAACCCGGCGCGCCCGGCTCCCGGCTCAGCCTCCAACTTCGCCGAGCTCCGAGCTTCAGGTGCATTAGGCTCCGTTCCAGCGAGCTTGAGCAGCATCTTGTCGCCAGCTATTGATAAATCGCTCCCCCCCCCTCCCCGATTATTCATGATAATGCGCTTATTTTCCGCCCCGTCCTCCTTCCGAGGGGCACTTTTGTCGCTTCTTCGCCCCGGCAAATTGCCCGCTTAACCTTTTCAAAGATTCCCTGATTATTCCTCTACCAGGGGCTGATTATTAAAGTAATCGGAAAAATAATCGAAAAAAATAATCGGGGAAAATAATCGGGAAATGATCGAGATTGGAATCGATGAGTTCAAGACGATATTTTACTGTTTAGTTCTCTGCCGAGGGCTGATTAATAAAATAATCGGAAAAAGAATCGGGAATAGAATCGAAAAAGAATCGAGATTGGAATCGATGAGTTCAAGACGACATTTTACTGATTATCTCTCTACCGAGAGCTGATTATTGAAGCAATCGGAAAAAATAATCGGGGAATAATCGGAATTGAAATCGATGAGTTCGAGAAAATATATTCCCTTGCCGAGGGCTAATTATTGAAGTGATCAGAAAAGTAATCGGGAAATAATCGAGATTGGAATCGATGAGTTCGCGACGATATATTTCCCTCCCGAGGGCTGATTATTGAATTGATCGGAAAAATAATCGGGATTTAATCGAGATTGGAATCGATGTTAGAGACGATACTTTACTCTGCTTTTAGGGAACAGCTAACAATAATAAGTTTAGTATGAACGTCGCATGAACATTTGGACGTATTTCTGCCAAACGGAACTATGTGCACTATGACGTGAGCCCCATTATGCATATATTTTCATGGGTCTCAGGGCCCATATCTTTACGCGCATCATTTTGTTTGGCAGAAATACGTCCAATTATAGTCGAAGAGCCTGTCCAATTCTTAATTTTTGAAAACAATCAGCCAATGGCTTGAAAGTCCTTTCATTGGAACTTGGCGCTTGGACAGATATTATTACCTATGAGTGTTAACCATCAAAACGCGATCTCTTGTTCAGAGCATCTCACTTTTATCCATAAGCTTCGAACATTCTATTTTAAAACCAGCACGAGATAAATACCCACCGGAACAATTAGAAGCCATATCCCCAGAGGAGAACTCCGTCACACAATTTGTATGGAAAATGGTTGAATATTCATGATTCTAACAAAGCAGCTGTAGCTCGTTATGCTTTTTTGCTGTGTTCATCAACTCAGAAGAATCAACAGGGTGTGAGTTAAAAATTCAAATGCCTTGCTCTTCTTTACGCTCACCTCCAGAGGAAGAAATTATATTGCTCCTCATCTCTTCTTAGGGCTTTTCTGACGTAATTTGCAAACTACACTGTTTGCCTCAGAGATCAAGCCGAACAGCTCATGATTTTGATGCGTTAAAACTTCCGCAACTGTTTACGATTTGCATTTGATTTTTACCGATTAAACACGATTTGAACTGAATGAATTAGAGAGGAACCGAGTAAAATTTTGGGGAGAGGCGAGTTGGTAGTGGTTTCTAATTTGACTAGCTTTAGAATTTTTCAAGTGAAAAATTTAAAGTTAGGAAGCAAATATTTTAAATGTAAAAGTAGGTGTGAACTGTACCGTGTGCATTAAGTCTCATGGAAAAATAAAACTTCAAACCTCTGTTCCTAGCTTCAATCTTGATAACACTTGGTCCTCTTTCTTTGAAACTTTGGCCATTTATAACTACTTTGTCCTTAATGCTTGAAACGCAATTATCTGTGGCTGTGTCAGGGTGAGTGGAACTTAAAGAGAATGAGACTTTGACCTAATTATGAAGTTCGTGTAGATTGATCCCGTGTAGTCATCCGCAATGGAAACCAAAGGTATCGGAAAATGTGAAAAAATTGGGAGGTGGGGGGAGGCTGAAAGAATAAAAAATATGTTAAATTCATGGTTTTTGTACGGCAAGAAATTCTGCAGCCAAAAAAGAATTATATTTGGTTGTTTTTCCTTTGCTTGATGAATCAGACATTCTCTGTTAAAAAAATAAAAAATGGAAATCAGTTTTGCAACTTGGAAATCAATTAGAATAATTGAATTACATTTTTTGCAATAAGGAGCCACTATCTCTAGTTGTCCCATAAAAACACACATTTGTATAGGGAAACCAAAAAATTTGTTTCTAAAGTGGGTCAGAAATAGTGGTTTCTTGTTGCAAAATGTAGTCAAATTCTGGCTAAACAAGATCCTTACATTTGAACGTGAGAAATCGCCTCTCGATAAGAGTAAACGGAGGCATTATATTCAATGTTGCTGCGCATTGACGTCATCGAAACAGCACGTCATCTGTGTTAAATTAGTTGGGCTCCTCATGAAAAAGTTATCGGAAAGCTCTATCGACGGAGGAAGTGCATGAGACGTTACGGCCGCGATGATTTCATGATAGACGTGGCTGGCATGCCAAGGCCTTGGAGTCCATCAATAATAGGTGGGTCGATGGAAGCAAGCCAGACAAGCCGTCTTGCAGGTGTCACGGCAAAGATCCATCTCCGAACCCGCAACTGGGACACACAGCAAAGCTGCCATGCTGAAAAAACACCATATCGGCATTTGAATGTTGTTCAATTTCCTCCGATGAAGTATCGATTTTCGAGGCAAGTTAAAAATATCTATCCTCAAAATTTCCAAGTATAATTCATTGAATTGCGGGTAAAATTCTGTGAAAATTTCAAACGAAAATTACACGATTTCCCCGGGAAATTCGTCTTTTTTCGAGGAAATTTGATGGTGTCTTGAATTCTCTTGCGGCGTTTCTCCTTAGCACGGGAGGATGCGGCTATATTCAATCACCCGGAAGAGCCGCGCTGAATTCCAAACCGATTCTCTGTTTTATATCTAAATTGATCGACGTGCCCGGAACTCCAAGCAATTCTCCACGGCTACGTCATGCGTACCAAACACAGACGGTCGACCATACTCACACGGTTCCTTTCGAAGGCGTCTTATTCCCGACGCCCCGAGTGCAAGAACTCGACAAATTTCACAATATCGCTCTGGCGCATGATTGTCTGTTGCACCGCCATGCTGAGGAGAAACGCCGTACAGTGGTCAAAAAGGTCGAACATAATTTTTTTTTACTAAAACTGCAATTTTGATGTTTAATTTGTCAAATTTTAAATTTTAAGGGGTGCCTCTAAAAGAAAATTCCTTGAGGAAACCAATGAAACCACTTTTAAAATCCCAAAGTTTTGTATAAATGGAGTTATAGGCGTTTAAAATTTCTAAAATTTGTCCAACCCCTCCTATAGACTCGATCTTTTGTGCGCCGTGTGCACATTTGAATGTTGCCAACTTTATTCCAATTGAATATCTAGTTCCAAAGAAATCTATAAGTAATTTCTCTAAAAAATTTCACAGACTTGAAATCAACCGCCGGATGAATTTCTTGTAAATCGGAGAAAAATATTCCCAAGTTTCTCTGATAATTCGATTTTGTCAAAGGAAATTTGGCAACGTGTAAGAACTCATATGGTGCTCTTCTTTAGCCCGCAGTGCAGGTGAAAGGATCAGTGTGCCGTGTGTTGATTTGACGACTCGGGTTCCTTAGCAATGATGATTGCAAGAACAGTACCCTAGCTTCGGAATTTTTGCAACAAGTTTGTGACCCAGTTTTCGAGGAGGACGTGTTTTAACTACAGGAGCAGCTTGCTTTTCGCCGAAGCGCTCATTTTTCTCGCCTAAATGAGCTCAGAATAACCGGAAGAAAATTCTGCGAAGAAGTGAGCTTTCAGTTCTGCGATAAGAACTAAAACAATTGAGTATACTTACTCTGATTATGGTGTTTGGCTTCACACAGCTTTTTACTTTCTCGCTCCCTTAGATTTTACATCATTTTACTCATTCTAAGAGAGTGAAAGTCAATCTACAGTTCCTGAGGTTGCTATTTCAGCCCAATTTAAGGGCGGAAGGGGGCGGTAAAACATTTTCGAAAGAGGCAAAATTTCATTGGAAGAGGTAATACTTTAAAAAGTCTCCATGAATGTCCAACGATTGATCAAAATTTAAATTGATTTTACTGCAACTACTAACGAGTCACTCTCACAGCGCTTCTGTGCGCTCTGTGACACCCAACCGCCACTGATAGCGATCCTGCCAGAGCTCCTCCAGCAGATCGCATCTCCTCATTTCCTGCCTTTTTTCTTCAATCCACGATTTGGCAGGGCGTCCGCTTCATTTTCTGCAAGGAATGACCCAATCCAGAACCCTCTTGGGCCAAATATTTTAAAATTCGACTAATATAATCAAAGTCAGGAGAATAATATTGTAAGAGCTGAAACTCCCGGATCACCTTCTCCCGTGCAGAAGTCAATTATTCTCAGCACCTGCAATATAGTTAGGAGTTTCCTTAACGTGGAGTCGTCTTCTCGCTTTTATCTCTTTTATTTCTCTTTTCGTTTTTTTTTTAGTTTTCTATTCTCAAAAATTTTAATGGTTAGGGCATAAAAAGAACCCGAGACTCTAGTCTTCGACTCGTCTTGGGTTCTTAATACCCGGAGAAATCCTGTGAGATAAAAAAAAAGGTATTAATATTAATTAGTGTTAATTAAGAATGGAAGGAATAACATGGTGTCTATTTTGTTACAGGCTCCGGTGTTGATCTGGATCTACGGCGGCGGGTACATGACGGGGACGTCGACTTTGGAGCTGTACGACGCGGACATCGTGGCCGGGGTCTGCAACGTGATCGTGGCCTCGCTCCAGTACCGGGTCGGCTCCTTCGGGTTCCTCTACCTGAAACCGCTCTTGCCGGAGGGCATTGAAGAGGCCCCTGGGAACATGGGCCTCTGGGATCAGGCCATGGCCATCAAGTGGATCAAGGACAACATCGCCGCCTTCGGCGGGGACCCCGACATGCTCACCCTCTTCGGCGAATCCGCCGGCGGCAGCTCGGTGAGTCACCTTCATTTTCATTCTCAATAACGGACACAGCTTTTCTGCCCTTCTAAAGAAGAGTGTAGAGTCCCTTTATACTGAGAGTCAAGACAATGTGAATTCATTTCTGATTGGTTCCCGTATTTTAGGCCTTCATAGTGTCACAAACGGGAATAAAGATTACAGTTTCACCGATTGCAAAGATTATAATCTGGAATGGACCGGGGAATTACGGGTTCGGCAAGGAACAAACGGAATGAGGGAAGGAACGAAGAAAGGAATTCAAGAATGGGCCGATCAAAGATTACGAAAAACGTTCAATTTCTGTAATCTTTATTCCCGTTTGTGACTCCATGAGGGGTGCTGTCTTGACTCTCAGAGAAAGGGACTCTAGAAGAGTGCATAGCGCCAAGATTCGATTTTCTACGAAAATCTGCGAACGATCTTCCACTGAAAATATATTATAGAAAAAAGTTCATGAAATCCTTGTTCTTCACGATAGAGCACTTTGAAACTTTAAAATGTGTTTTTCAACAAGTAAACCAACAACATCAAATGAGTAATTTATTTCAAAAATATGAATTTTCTTTATGAGATGTTACAAAGCTAAGGAGGCCAATTGTATGCCCGGATCAGTCGATGCAAAAACAATGCATACGGAGTTACTTCTTACCGTCGCACAGAGTATTCACAAAAATAGTCTTACTAGTGCACGTCGCTTTCACCGTTAGCACACTGCAAAAAGTTAAGTTGATTTCTCCTTAATTTTGGCGATTTTGATTGAGGCTTCCATGATCTCAGTCTAAAATTGAATTAATTTTTTTTTATCAATCCCAAAACGGGAGATTCAGTAAATACATCGTTTTTTCTTCGTACAGCAGTATTCATACAGTCGTCCCTCAAACATCTCATATTGCTTTATTATAACATCATAGAAAGGAGACACTTCATGAGCCTCGGGTAGAATCCTAGAGTGTAACTTTGGGAACAGATCCTTGCAAGGCGATATAATGATTTGCCATTTCATAGATTGCAAAATACAGAAGAAAACATGTTTCACGTGTCCGATTTTACAAAATTTCATCTCCTTCCTCTGCCTCCTTTCCACCTCTTTCCAAGTTCTTAAGCATCTTCATCAGACAAACAAACGTTAGGGGCCGTTCAAGTATTTTGTAACGCACTTTTTTCCGATTTTTGCCCCCCCCCCTTGTAACGCACCCGCAAAGCAACCCTATAACCCCCTTTTGAATTACGTAACGCTGACCTTACCCCTTTCCCGATTTTACAAAAATAAAATACAAAGCGGGGGTGGCAAGGGCGGGATTTTCAATTTTTTGTACGTCTCTTTTATAGCCTCCCCCCCCCTCCCAGACTCGGATTTGTTACGTAACGCTAGGCTTGACTAGAGTTGAGTCAACGCGGTTTGTGGATGTCACACACGGGAATGAAGATTACACAAATCTGACGTTTTTTTGTAATCTTTGATCAACTCATTCCCGAACTCCTGTCTCCGTCCTTCTGTCATTCCGTTTGCTCCTTGACGTGCCGCTAATTTCCCGGTCCATTCTAGTTCATAATCTTTGCAATTGGTGGAAATGTACACGCAGAAAAAAACCTCGTGCTTAGGACCCGAAGTTGAGGTCATATGGATCTCTGAAGTTTCCAGATTGAGCATCTGAACACTTAAGGTCTAGCTCCCCTAAGTACGTTACATAATACTTAAATAACCCCTTAAGAGTCCTAAGACTTGAGTCTGACCGACTGAGGATAAGGGCGGCCTAAGTCCACCTGAAGCGACGAGATCGACAAGAGGCGCTCACGTATCCCTCGGGCGTCGGCAGCGTCCGCTTAAGAGCCGCATGAAAAATTGATAGACGGCAATGAGTGTCCGTTTGGAAACGTAATGTCCGCGGTCGGGGGAGGCGAAGGGGGACGGAAAGGTAGAGGGGACGGAAAGGTAGAGGGGAAGGAAAGGGGGGATGCTTGACGCGGATTAATATTTAAAGAGTCTTAAGGCCGTCGTCGACGTCCGCGGTGGCGTCGCGCGACGAGGCCTCCCTCGGCCAACCCAACAGCGACACAACGCGATAAACGTATGTGGTCAACAACTCGATGGTCAAAGGAGCAAAACGCGTATACGCATCGAAATTTTTGTTCTTTTCAGAAAATAACCAAAATACAACTTTTTAAAATAAACCGATTATTTCCCAAACCTTGTAAGCGCTCATCTCCATTTTGGTTGTAGAGGTTTTTTTTTTTTTTTTTTTTTTTTTTTTTTTTTTTTTTTTTTTTAAGAGCTGGAGCCCTCTCGAAGTGAGTTAACTTTGACCTTGGTTGCTAGACAAATAGCCACTGTTCATGGTTAGTACACATTCATGACCCAGGATTTTCAAATTTTCAAGGATTAAGGCCGAGTAGGATCTGTTTCAGCAGATCTATACTCGTCAGTTCCAAGAAAATTTGATACCACTACCGGGATTCGAACCCGGGACCTATTGCCTTAGAGTCAGGCGCGCTGACCACTAGGCCAACTTGGCCGGCTGTTTTTTCTTAGTTTTTTCTGGTACGATCATTCATGTCTGATTTCAAAGGAGCCCTCTAAAAGAACATACATTTAGCATACAACAAAGCGAATAAAACGGGATTTCTTACTTTTCTCGCATTCACAATTTTGGCGCTCACGTGATTTGGAAAATAATCGATTCTACTTGCCGTGAGTATTAATTGAATGAGTGAACAAATTGCCAGACAAACCAAAGGCAGGCTGTTTGTTTTTTCCCTTTCGCTTTTGTAATAAATAAAATATGAGCGGAAACAACCCCATCAATGTACGAATTGTCTGAGTATACGGATTTTTAAAAATAAAGTTGGATACTTGAAATGCCATTTTAGGCTCTTCGTAACACTAATATATCAAAATTATCATCACTTTGCATTTCGGTGATTTCAGCGCAAACAGCACTCAAATTCAACACATCTAGACTTTATTCTCTCCGAGGGTCATGGTCCGACCAATATAAAACGCCTTCAAATGCGCCTGATACTGTGCCACACACCGAAGTTCAAATAGTTGTATTCTTAGGTTGGAACTTAACTCTGGTAAATTGATCTACCAAATGAGGCATGCCCGACCTATTAACCGCTGTATTTCATGTTATATCGCATATTTTTTGCTCATTATTACCCGTGATGAAAGTGAAAGCCTCGATTGATTTAAAAAGAAGGTAAGATCATTAATAATGTGGCCAACGAAAGAGGCACATCAAGACTCCTACTCTTTATTCTCAGGTCGCGGTCCGACCAATATAAAACGCCTTCAAATGCGCCTGATACTGTGGAACACACCGAAGTTCATATAGCTGTATTCTTAGGTTGGAACCTAACTCGTGTAAAATTCTCAGGCAAATAAGGCATACCCGACCTTTTAACTGCTGTATTTCATGTTATTTCGCATATTTTTTGCCCATTATTACCCGTGATGAAAGTGAAAGCCTCGATAGATTTAAAAAGAAGGTAAGATCATTAATAATGTGGCCAACGAATGAGGCTTACCTGAAGAAATGCCTGGTTTTAGAACTATCATAGTTTTTGAGCGAGCCCGTTACATGATGAGGAGGGGAGGGGATACTTTGTGACTGGAAACTCGAATTTTTAGTGAAATTTTCAAAATTCGAAAATACAGGATGCCGGGTGTGGCCTAAAATAATATCTCAGCTCCTGTTCGATCCATTTTTATGAAACTCTGTAACAGGGGGTATTTTTGACGAGAAACTCGAATAGTTAGTAAAACTTTCCAAATTCAAAAATCATATTTGGCAAACGTGACTTTAAGTGCTATATCGGCTTTTCCAAAAGTATTGGCCTATACAATCAAGATTTATATAAATTATTTCCTCGTTTTCAAAACCAATTTACATATACCCATAGCTAATGTATACCCTCATTTGAGCGTACTCTCCAACACTCCGAGGTTGATCCGTGAAACTACGTGTTTTTTTTTCTCATGATGTAGTTTTTTTTTTTTTGTTTAATTTTAAGACACGCTAATGAAATCGACGATAAAACTGCATGAAAAATTCTAGATAAATATAAGGAAATTATCAAAGAAATTCTGTTTTGATGAGCAAAAATGGACCACTAGACAAGGTACGAACCTCAGCATTCTGATACATGTTTCTCAACCAAAATTTCACGTAGAACACGATACGCACAACGAAAATTACCCAAATCAACTCCCGACGAAGATATTTAATGATTCTTGATGCGTGAATTCAAACCACCCGCTCATGAAAACTCAATGCTCTACGTGATTCACATCGCGCGCTAAATGTTTATCATGACAGTCTCTGCGATGTAAAAATCTTCAACTTCAATCTTGACACTTTGGCTCAGCTATAGCAGATTACCAATAGTTTGAACAACTTATGGTGGAAAATGAACATTGCTCGATTGAGAAGCTTGCTGAAACCGTTGTAGTGCGCGATTTGACTCACGTAGAGCTTTGAGTTTCTTGTGAGCGGGCAGTTCAAATTCCTCGTACCCAATGTGAAATAAAAACGTTAATATCTTCGCTAGAAGTTGATTTCGGTAATTTTCGTAGTTTGAATCGTGTTCTACGTGAAATTCTGGTTAAGAAACATGTATCAGATTGCTTAAATTCGTACCTTGTCTAATGGTCCATTGTACAGGGTCTGAATGTTGACACGGTGGTAGGCAGCAGTTAAACTGCGCGAAGTAACGTATCAACGGGTTGCTCCGCGTAGCGGCTAATGGACGACCCCTGGGTAATATCTAATCCACGAACTGCGGCTTAGAAAATCTCACACAGGTTGTTCGTCTTTATTTTCGTTTCCTTTCATTTGAACGTATTTATGCCAAAAGGAACTATGTCTCACGCAAAACCTATGCACATAGTTGCTTTTAGCATGGACACGTCCATTTGATCTCTTTTATCTGGGCAGATGAACGGCCGTGAACCCGCGAAGATGGAGGGGCATGATTGACAAAGGCTCGAGAGTTCTGGAACGGAGACACGGCGACCTCTCCTTTCGCAATTCCACTCTTGATCCTCGCCTCACCCGAAATCAAAGAGGGGACAGCGCCGCATTCCTACACTCCCGACTAATTTGTCGGAATATAAAACATGAAGAAGATGTAATACCTCGGTGGCTCGGAGGCGAAAAGGTGCCGCTCTCTTTGAGCTGGAAATTTCGTTGCGTAATCATTCAGAGGGCTGAGGCTTAGAGTTCGCCTTTTTGAAAAGTTAGGCCGTCAATAAAGAAAAAGTTCATCTGAAGACTCTGAGAAGATGGCAAGATGAGTGAGTAAGTCTGTCAAGTGCTCTGTTAAAAAAGAAGAACTAAGTTCGCTTTTACGTAGCGTATGTCGTCACCCCTCTGGTGTATGGACGTAGCTCGATTTTTGTATGAGCCATAGAAAGCATAGACTCATTTGTAGAACAGAGATCACGGGGAAATTGAGATATCCGCTTATGTCGGAGGGCTGACGGTGTGTAGCGGCGCTTCAGATCGGTCATGCTTTTAGTTCGTCGAACCGAGCACTTTATTGAACTGTTTTTTTACGATAAGGAGCCTCCCTCCCCGGCTCATTTTATAAACAACGTAAGTGTCACTACTTGCCGTATGTAGGTACGTGCGTCTATGGATGAGTTAGAAATAGCTGTCCCTTAACGTAATAGCGTAGTACGCAACGTTCGTTAATAACATAGTCCTTATAGACATATAAGCCACCACATATAAGCGTGTGTGTCTCTCATCTCTATGTTTGGGCACCTTTACTAGGAGAGTAGGTATAGTAATGTCATATTTGATGAAGGTCTTAGATCTTTTATCCCTTGTTAGGTCTTCGATCCTTTATCCCTATAAGAGCCTTTAAGAGAAATTCCGGACACCTTCCCATCGAAAGATCTATACGATGATCTTCTCGTTTAATCGGTAATTTCGAGGAGAAAATGTCACCCTTTACATATCTATGTAGAGCAACCTACAATTTCTCCTTTTTATAATTTGTGTGGCCGTTCTCTCCGAGATTGTTTTTTTCACGTGTGTATGAAACAGCGAGGCAAGGAAGCATGCAAAATAATTGCGGTGCCAGTTTAGCAGTTGTAGAAGTTGGAAATGCGCGATTCACAGCGGCTTCATGAATCTGCCATTCCCATGAGTCTGTCCGGTCACAAGCAAGGAACCGACGCGGGGAATGTTGCCAAATTGAGTGGTATTCGCGCATTTCGGGAGTAGACAAAGGGTCTCAAAGTCAATTATGAGGTAAATTTGACAGCTCCGGTGGGAGAAAATTTTCGCGCGTCGAGAAGTGTACGGCTGGGACACATTTCCTCGACCCACTCGACTACGTTACACGTCTGAACCTTTCCCTCCGCCCTCCCCTCGTCCTAGTTAATGGCAGAAATAAATAGTGCACCGAAACTTATTTACGTATGGTGAGCGTTCATCGTTCAGGTTGTTGCCTCCACTGTTGCACTGTGTCCCGGTCCTCCGATCTGAAATTAAAAGTCTCCGGAAGTTAGTTATGATGGTATAAATTTCCTTTTCCCTGAGAGTTTTCTTATTTTTTTTAATTTTATGACGAAAAATGCTTTATTTAAATTAATAGTTATTATTAATTTTAAAGAATGAACGGCTTTTCCGTCATTAATCCAATAAATATTAAACCTATAGTTAGATTGATTGATTTGATTCATTGAATCTTTGACCTTTTGTTTAGTTAAATTTTTAAATATTAACTTCTAATTAATTTATTTCTGATTTTCGGTTAGTAAATACATTTTTATACTCAAATTTTAAATCTCAAAGATAAAGATCTTATTTAATCATTTTATAACTGCAATTGGTATATTTTAAATTAATTATTATATTTAGGTTTTAATATTATAACTTTAATTTGACAAATGAAACGATAATAATAGCGTTAATTGTATGAGATACTGTACAAATTATGAGCCAAAGCGCTCCATTCTAAGTTTTTTCTTCATCCCTCAAATTTTTACTGAAAATTATTTAGTCGTGGAGAATCTAAAAAATCAGCTCCACAAAAGGGATTCAAGAATTCTCAACTAACTTCACACTGCTTAATCGGGAGACAGGTATTTTCGATTGCGGCATTGCAGATTAAGACAAATTCTTCAACTTTAAATATAGTTGAATGGCCAAAGCAGAAATAAGAATCGACTTTTCTTAGTCCACCGATTCCGAGAAAATTTCGGATTTGAAGAAGGAAATTTTTAAAAGTCGCATCTAGACCGAAGATGCAGATTTCAAAATTTGAAGATTGCTTCGAATTCATGTCGTGTATTTAGTGAGATTCCCATGAAAAATTGTAGATTTTGCAACGGAGGTTCACTCTGAGTTGGTAGATAATTCGTCTGGAGGTTAAAATTGTGCAGGGTTCTTCTATTTCAGCACTTTCTAGCTAAAAAGATTCAGACTTGCCGGAGGCAATTTCTGATGGATGGTAGTGTGATTGTTCGTGAAATTGTATTGGTTCTCATGGGAAGAATCCTGCAGTTCTATCGGTAGGAGAATATCATCGTTGACAATTCTAGCAAGTTTGCAACACTCTGTCTCGACCATTCGTGCGAGGGTGAAACAATCGATACACAGTATCGAACTTTTCATAGATGTCCGTGTTGCATCTGCAAAATTGAATGCGAGATGGCGTGAGGCGTGAACTCGCAATGCACCGCTCTATGCTATTGGTGAGGTGTCGCTGAGATTCGGGCAAAAGTTAAAAAACAATGCTCGAATACTTGTCACCTATTTTAGGCTGTGACACTCGATGTTTTCTCTTTTTTTTTCAATTGGACGTCTGATTCTTTTCAGGGCGTATTTATAGATCTATAACTAAAGCTCGTATGCATCAGCTCTAAGACTCTCTTAGAAAAGATGGTCTAGCCAATTTGACTAGGTTTGGGATTTTTTGGGGTGGATGTCAAAAAGAAGAAAATGAGACTCAATTTTTTTTTTTAAAAAAAAATGTATGTTTGTTTTTTTATTATGTATTTGTAGACCTTCATTTGAAACTCGTGTACAGTATTGTACAGGCCCAACAAAACAATAAATTGTCTTTAGGGTCAATTTGACCCTGCTAGGGCATCTAGGGGTCAATATAACCCATTAACTTTAGCTATATTCAGGAAGATTTTGAGTTCAATAACTTTAAAGAGAGGTCTAAGATTTTTTCCCTTAACCTAGGAATTCCCTCATATTTTATCTCAATTCATACCTTAGAGGATACCAAAAGGTAGAGGTACTTCGATCGATTTTAAGCCTTTCAAATTCTCAGGGATTGCGCCCGAGGGGAATTTATCTTCGTAGACCCACTCGTCAACTCTGTGAAAATTTGTCGCCATCACTAGGCTTCGAATCCGGGACCTATTTCTAGTGTTTGAATTTATGTGAACTAAGGTAAAAGGTCGTTTGCATTAATTTGATTATCAAATGCTGATGAAGGCCCACGTTTGTTTCAGGTCAACATCCACCTGATTTCACCGGTGACAAAGGGCCTGGCGCGGAGAGGGATCCTCCAATCAGGGACGCTCAACATGCCCTGGTCCTACATGGAGGCAGAAAAAGCCATGCAGATCGGTAAAATCCTCGTGGACGACTGCAATTGCAATTCTTCACAGCTCGAAGAGAACCCGACCAAAGTGTTCGCATGTATGCGGGCTGTCGATGCCAAAATCGTGTCCAGCCAACAATGGAGCTCGTACTTTGGTAAGTTTAGCTAAAACTCACATTAAGAGACACGCCAAGAGAAGATGTTGATAAGTGTACCAATTTTCCAGCATGAGTAACTAGTTACCAATTATACCAGTAATTGGACAAATTTGACCGAAATGAAACTAACTGCATTTAATGTTGCCTAATTTCCCCTGGAGTTTTTTAATCTTAACAGAGAACCAAACGACATAATGCCTTGAAACATCTATTATAGCTGACAATTGCGAAATCGGGCATTTTCTGTCCACCTCTTGTAATTATCCCGGCTTCAGTAATTCTGTCTTTTTTTTTTTTTTTAATTATTTTTTGCCTCGAAGTTGGATCATTAAGCTGGAAGTTTTAATGTATTATACGAAAAAAGTTGTTCAGCCGCATATTGCTGATGCATCTCGGGAACTTCATCCTATCTTCAGAGCATTTCCACAGTACAGTTCACATTGTATCCATCAACTGTACTGTAGGTAATGCTCTGATGATTGGACGAGCTTCTCGAAATGCATTAGCACTTGTTTAACAAAGAAAAATGAAAAATATGCATCTTTGGCTCCCTGTTTTATTATTCACAGTGTATTATCCCTTAGAAAATGCAACTCTTACGTATGAAATTTTAAAATTTTAAGAGTAACATTTTAATGCTAAAAAAAAGTGCCCGAAAAAAAGTGCTACAAAAGCGTCGATGGTTATGGATTCGATCAACATGAATCAATCGAAAAACCAAAACGTGAACCGATGACGTGATTCAATCGACAACGATTGCCGATTCCGAAAATAACCCGCGAATCGATCGACAAAATCCGTGAGTTGATCGACAAACCCTTGAATCGATCTTATCACGTCGATCAGTTTACGTTTTGGTTTTTCCATCGATTCATGTCGATCAAATCGATACTGGTTTTTGAATGATCTGTCGATCGATTCACGTTTCTATTGTTGGACCAATTCATGTCGATCGAATCCATCCTCTCCCAAAGTGTCATGATTCGATGAAGAAGTTACATTTAGAATAAGGGACACCTAGCGGAAGCATAGTGGAGCCCAGGATGGCTATCCTATATCGACGGTGAAACTACCAAACCACGTATCTCGTTTGCGGTGTTTAAAAATCTACGCTCGCATTTTATTTTTTTGAAGTAGACCAAATCAATATCATTCCTTGAAATTTTCACAGAATTTTCTCCGCACGAAGAGGAAAAATCACAGAAATTTTCAAGACTGGACGTTAAGTAGTTTTTCATTTAAAAAATAAAGTATGACAGGAAGTGTGCGACGTCGCAAACCGAGATACGTGGTTTGGTAGTTTCACCGTCGATATGTGAATGCAACAACGCGAAACACATTCTGCCGTGCTAAGGAAAAACGCCGTATGAACATTTGGAAGTTGCCAGATTTTCGTCGATAAACTGTTTATTTTTGAGGAATGTTATGAATATTTATCCTTGAAATTTTCAAAATTTTTAGATCGAATTTCGAAGACATTTCTCCGAAAAATCAGAGGAGAAATATTCACAAATTTTCCTGAAATTCCGTTGTTTTTCGAAGGATATTTGGCAACGCCTGATGGCTCATATGCCGTTTTTCCTTAGCACGGCAGCATTCTTTGACGGCTACACCGTTCTGCGTTTAACCGCTCCCCAGAGACAGAGAGCGCTGCAACTGCTTCCGCAGAACGGTAATTCCTCCACCACTCTTTCCTCTCTCCTCATTTATCCTTCGCGCTAGACCGAGCTTACTGAAAGTTCCTCGCGGGAAACTCTTTGATGAGAGCTTTAGTTTGTTGTTGGGCGAATCTCGATTTACTATCCTGTGGACTCGTAATCCAAAAATCTGTATTATTAGTAACCAAGAGGTAATAAAAACAAGTTTTAATCATAAAATAATTTGTTTTCTGGAATAATTTTTTTAGGAGCTATGAGATAAAGCAAGAAGAGCTGAAGATTTTCACTCAAACCATATTCTTCAATGTAAAATCGTAAGAGCAACGCGTGTACTGCCGTGCTAAGGAAAAACGCCGTATGAGCCTTTAGACGTTGCCAGATTTACTTCAATAAAAACCAAATTTTCTCGGAACATTGCGTACATTTTTCATCAAAATTTTCAGATAACTTTGTCCGCAATTTGATCTAAAACAATGGAAAATTTCAAGGAGAAATATAAATAACTAAAAAATAAATGTTTTATTTGGAGAAATTTGGCAACTCTCGAATGTTCATACGGCGTTTTTCCTTAGCACGGCAGTATAGCTCTTCGGGAGGTTAGACCGCGAAGCGGTCAGGAGGCACAGCCCCCTAAATTCATGATGAGCATGTTGTTTCCCTTTTATTTTGTGATCGGCATCTATTAAAATTGTACTTCTTCAAGTCCCTCTACTTGAACCAACACTTTTCCTTCATCATTCCCCTTTCTGCAGATGATACAGTCGTTGACCTCAAAAGCAGGGTACAAAGTATCCCTTTCCAGGAGAGAATAATCGAATTTCAAGCATCAAAGTGACGAATTATAGTCGCTGAATTATACAGAAGTTCGTTAGAGTAAAAGGTAAAATATCGGTTTTCACGGAGGGTAAAGGTAAGAGCGCGTATTAGGAAATCTCGTCAGAGATTTGATAAAAAAAATTGATGTCAACAAACGGGATTTTTACCGGAGAAATGGGAAGAGTTCGGGTGACTGAGTTCCTAGAATCATGCCGACCCCGTCCTAGTTCAAGAGAGATGAACGAAGTTCCGACACCTTGCTCCTGGAAATTGCATCAAGTTATAAGGGCAGCCACCGGTATTGCCTCCTTTGGTTTCGCGAATCTCAAATGAAGCTCGACGCTCTCCGGCGTTGCTTTGAATCCTTTAGCCCTAAAATTTCTGGGTTCCTCTCAACAGAGGAGCGTTCTTAGGAACTGCCAATTTGAACGCTCAACTTTTTTTCCCCGCCGAGTCGCATTTCTCAGGATTCTAACCAACCTGCCTTATCCACCTTGCTAAGGTCCTGTTTAAAACATTCCTGTCGAAACTTTACTCAATTCTCTACGGATCCGTTGCACGATCTAGTTTCACTTTCCAAAGTTTTCGCACTCACTCATGATTCAAAGAAACTCTGATACTTCGGACGTGAAGGTGAAAATGACGATGATGTATACCTGTTTGAGTTCCACTCAAAAATGAGATGGTTTCCTATGGAATTGGCCATCAGAGTACCAGTACCCATCCATTGACAAAATATATTGACAAAATTTCAGGAAATAGTATGTTACCTCTAAAGATATCTAGAACTTAGTCGAGTGTATACAGTGAAAATGCCACGGTGGCATTTACAATGTAGGCGTGTAACGAAATATAAATCCTCTCTTAACGCGTAAAGTATTAGGGCAGCAGTGGTTTTGAAGATATGAATACAGAGACTTGAGACTTGATGGAAGCATTATTTAACAATCTTGAGACGGTTAAGTATGGTGATGAAGTTCTCGATCGATTGATATGTATGGCATTTCACATCCACATTTGAACGATGTAGGGTCATTTTAATGTATAAATAATCTGTATTTATAATAATTTATAATAATCTCTTGAATTGAAAGCATCTTCAATTTTTGTTGCAGGCATTTTAGGATATCCTTCGGCACCAACCATCGATGGAGAGTTCTTGCCAAAACATCCTTTAGAACTAATGAAAGATCAAAATTTTGATGACATAGAACTATTAATCGGGAGTAACAGGGATGAGGGTAAGTCAAAGAATGTTTCTCTTTTAGTCTACCTCAGTTGTTTTTGTCAAAGCACATATCTCGTTTATTACATTACATCTATTCCTCAATATATCAAATCATTATTCCTATTTATCTTTCATTCGTTTTTTATTTCTGATTTAAAACTATGCTTCAATTTGACCGTATTCTAATTACGGCTTTTTGGCACATTCTTCCTCAATATGCTGTTTTCATTTAAAGTCTAAAAAGATAACGAGATTTGATATTAGATTATCACATCTTCGGTAGGTATACGATGAAGGTTTCATTATAATTAATTCTAATCATGCCGCACATGCGGGGATGGAGGGGGAGCTCAAGTTTCGCTTCTTTGATGGCTCTAGGGTCAAATTAAGTCACGGCCAAATTTGCACTTCACGCGAAAAATTAATCATTATTTTTTAGACAATCCACTTGTGTTTTATTCGAGAGCCGCTATCTCTTGTTCTGAACAGAAATTGCAAACTTCTGGCCTCTCAACGATTTTTTTCAATAAATCGATACAAAAAGAAGAAAAAAAGATGAAAAAAGAAGAAAAAAGAATAAACCTCGGGTTGGATGAAGTTCAGGTGTATTCTGACAACACGACAAATTAAAATCATTGCAAACCCCCTCTGAAACATCTCTCTCAGATCTGTAACTACAATTCTGTGCGTTTCCGCATACTCCGTTCTTGGTGGAGATCGTCAGGATTTTTTTTCAAGTTCTGAGTCGCGCGTGATAGCAAAGAAATTAAAAAATAGAACTAGAGGTTTGTAGACAAAATTTAGCGGAAATCGACAGAGAATTTCAAGGAGTGTTGCAAAAAAAAGTCCTTAATATAGCAGTTCAAAAGGGATCACTCCTTAGATCATTTCAAATCAAAGCCTGAATGAAAATATGGTTGAGAATTCATTTATGTTGATCACATGCTAACGGAGTTTACATCCCTGTCGCACCTCAAAATTTCTGACCTTCTGAAACCGAAAATAATTTCTAATACGATGCATTACACTCAGATTTGTTCATATTCGTAAAAAAAAAAGAAAAAAGAAAAGTAGGTCTATGTTCATGGTATTTTGCGATCCACCAATAATTCTTAGTAGTTTTACCGGCCTCTAATAATTTTACTAGACTCGTAGGCAAAATTTGAAATTACCAAGAATTATTGACAGTCCAGAGGAAACGATAAAATTACGAAAACATTTTGGCGATTGGTAAGTACAGTGAATTCGCAGTCGTTTTGTCATGTGCTCGGTAATCCGGCGGGTATTTTTTTTCTCTCCCAATGATGGATTCCCAGTAAGTGGGCACTTAACCTAATCCCGAGCTCTTGCTTTTGTTAATTGGGTAAGCCGACTTGAGTAAAAGCTTTTCCATTGGGCGAGTTTCTTGAGCGCGGTAAAAGAGTGAGTAAGAGACTCGTGCGCCATGCTTTGTGAGGCGCACGTGCCACCTCTTCACGTAATTCAGGATTCGGGGTCTGATTTATGCTTTCATGTAAATGAACGTGGCAACACTGCACTCTCAAGAGATACGTGCCTTGGGAAGCTCATATGACTTGTAAAACTACGCTCGAAGCTATTAATTAATTGGGACAGCTTTAAAAAGTGAGAGGAGACCAAACACTGCCATTACTCAGGTACACCGCGCACTAGTGAGTGGGTGGAGAAAACTTGCAAAGTGGACGAGTTTCCTCTCCCCTACCAATAACAAATTAAATGTCTATCGGTAGTTTTCAGGGATCATCATATCGATCTTCCTTGAAAACCTATCCTAAAAAAATTCTAGATTACATAATAATAATAAAAAAAACAACGTGTTACTTTTATGTCCGATATTCGTTCTCGGTTTTCGGAATTTTCGAACTTGTTATTATTCTTAGTTTCTGAAACTCTCAGAGAGGTAACTGGAGGAAACATATACTGCGTACTCACAGATATAACAATAGGATTTTTTCATATAGGAATTCTAAGTTCAGCCTTTGAAATGTTGTTCATACTGCCGATTATTATTCATCATTCTTAATGAGAAAACCGCAAGTCATGACTAATTTTTAAAATTAGTGTATTTCTGTTCTTTCTTTAAAAAATTGTGGATAATTTATATGTGTATACTACATTATATTATCAAGCAAAATTATTAGAAAAATGCACGATCTCAGCAGTAACGCTAAAACTAGTCATAGTTTCTCAGAAAAAAAATATTTAATTTTGGTCGCAGACATCAACTGCAGGCATTGGCTGAAAACCTTATTCAATCAGAGCTAGTTTTTCCTTCAGTCTGACAATAAGAAAAAAAAACTATGAATAAACTCACCAAATCAGAGGTGTTCCATTTAATCCAATTATTGTTAATCACAGCCACTAATTGTAATTTTTTACTACTAGGTGCTGTGTTAATAATTTTCATCGTTTATACAATTAACAGTTAACAGTAAGAGCACGAAAGTCATGCGGTATGACTATTAGTTTAACTACTTTACTTTTTACTATTCATTTTATTTTGACTTTCGCATGATTTTGATTACATTTTAACCATCGCGTATTTCCAGTATGCCGCTAAAGGAAGAGTTCCCTGCAGTTCATTCAATTGGGGCTCTTGTAGTATAATCTGTGTTTTTGCTCTTAAGTTTTCTCCATAATTTTTTAGATAAAACTGGAGATGGTCAAATATATTCAAAGTCGGCGAAAGCAAGAGAAGCACAACAAATAAAACCGGGAGGAGGTTAGGGAAGTCTTCGTTTCAAAATGTTGAACAGCAGTAGAGGGCAGTTTATACATTTCTGTTGGCATGCGATGAGAATTCTCACCATTTGAAGTTTTTTGCTTAAGTAATTGTGACTGTCCACCGATGTGCGGGACACACCGTGCGAGTAGAATTGCCGAGGTCTTGTTGACACGGTTCAAGCGTGCAAGCACGAAATTTGTAGGGCCGAAACCATTAGCGATTCCGCACGTTTCCTCGGGGATTTTGACCGCTGTTGCTGACCGACAAGTAAAAACATCAATTTACGCGTCCCTGTCCGAGCGACACGCTAAAGTCCGCTCTGCCGGACTCTCATCCTTCTCAGTAACTAAAGCTCAATACCCAGCATTACATGAAGTACAAGACTCTGGGGTAACTTTGGAATTTTTAGTTTTTTCTCCCACAAAAAAGCAAGAAAAGAGAAACCAAGAGCCAAAACGTAAAACTTTCTATTTCCGAAGTAAAATTTCGTCCAAGCTTTTCCAGATCTTCTGTTTTTTTTCAATGTTTGAAAGAGGGGCAAGTATGGTTACTCCGAAAAATTCTGTGAGATTTTCCCTGTGACGTTTCAGTTAAAGTGAAAGATCACAAAAAATGTATGGAGAGTGTTCTTTTGAGAAAATAAAACATCCGGGCAGATATTTTGGAACACCTCTGTTGTGCAAATTCTGCCTCAATATAGAACCTCTGTAAGCGTTCAATTAAATCCGTCACATGAAGGGAAGGAAGAGGTTTATTCCTATTTCTTCTTCTCCTTTTTTTTTTTTTTTTTGACCGAGTAAAGGCTACAGACCATGTCATGTTAGCAATCCGTTTCAGATCTTATTTCTCTCATGACTTTAAATCTTCGCACGTCTGACATTATACCTTGAAAGCCGCTCAGAGCCCCTTCATTGTTTATGGTTTGCAATATTGTACTCTGAACGTTGAAAGAGTTACTTGGCAGACTGATCGAGCGCATTTAAACAAAAGGTGTCTATCTCAATCAAGAGTTTTGATGGAAAAAAGGGGGGATACTTTAGTTATGCTATAACGAATGGTAGATATAGAGATGGACATGATATTGGAGAACTTTCAGACAACCAACGGGAAGACGGAAACATGGAGCTTTCGGACGAATCATCAAAGATTCCATCAGAATCCGAAGGCAGTTTGGGATTTTGTAATTCTATGCAGATAGACTTCTCTCACAAAATTCGATTCTGCCTTAGAGCAACATCACGCAAACAAGTACTCGAGGATCTCTGAAAACTCCCTTCATCTACTTCACCGCCAGCTCCAAAAAGAATCATGTTTTTTTACCGCCTCGTCCTCACCACTCTACATGTATTACATTTTGCAAAAAGGAACCAAGAGCATTCCAATGTTGCTAGGATTGTGCAACTTACATTTTTTGCGATAAAATTACTGAATTCATGCAAAAAATTAAATTTACCTAGGTAATTTTCGTTGTGAATTTATAGTTTATCGGGAGTATAGCTAAAACTTGTTTAGATGATCAGTTTATATTTGGAAGGTAAAAATGGCTGTCCAGTCCTCTACATTGGAATTCTCTTGGTCCCTTTTTGCAAAATGCAATCCATATGGTAACCATTGGGCAACAATCTGCCCCGAAGCGGCTCGAACTGGATCACATTTAGCCAAAAGGAACCAGCGAGATTACAGTGTTGTACAATTGTTGCCTCTTCATCATGATCTTGAAAATCTCTCAGAATAGCAAACGGTTGTCACTTCCCACCAAAAAATTGTTCTTAAAAAAGGAAAATAATTGTGTGAATTTCAATACCGTACACATATTAAGTATTTTTAAAGGAAAAAAATTGCACGATCTTGAACACACTGTCAGCACGTTGGTTCCTAAATGTGATCCAACTGTGGCCCTAAAATCAGACCCATTAAACTCTTTCTCAATGAATCCCCCGGTGAGGAAGGAATTTTTTTGCATAAGTGCGTCCAATCCAAGTTGCGCCGTCAATCTCACAGCCTCCTCTCCTAATTGGCGAAAGTTGTGCGAAACTGGAAACGAACCGAGAAAGCTCGCTCGCACAAATTGGGGGGCGCGAACATACTCGACAGACTCACGTCCTCGTTGGCGAATGTGCCCAATCCACTTTACATCACAAACAACTTTCGGGGGAAAAGAACGATTTCTTCCGCGTCGAACTTTTCCGGTCAAAGTTGTGCGAGAACTCACGACGAAACGACGATGCGCATACTGCCGTGCTAAGGAGGAACGCCGTATGAACATTCGA